AGGGCAAATTATACTTGCATTACACTTAATATGGGGGAAATAGTAATCAGACAGCAGATCAAAGTTTATAAACAATTGCAAATAGCAAAAAAATGGATTAATGTGCAGGCTGTTACAGAAATAAAAAGTTGATTATACAGGCAGTATTTAAGCTAGCTTGGCAACTCTTTGGTAATGGCTAAGGGGTAGTAAAATTATAATTCCAAATATGGAGAGGAAAAGGCAACAAAAATCAGACAGGCATGCATAGAACTGAATTCGTTTAAGAGGAAAGAGGGGATACAAATGTTTGTTGCTGAAAGGCAGCTTAGGTAGCTGTCAGAGCTAGAGAAAATGGAGCATGGATGTTGTCTGTTCAAAGGCAGGAGGAGTGGAAAGAAGTTCTTTATTATAGGCACTTATCACAGTCACCATTTTTGTGGGCATTTTTAAAATAAAAAAATCAGCTTTTGCTAGGCTTATATCACATACTGCAGCCTATTTCTGTGAGTGAATGAGTCACTTGTTTTCTTACTTTTGTAAGTAAAACTACTTTTTATGGTGGGGGGAAATGCGCTTAATGTCACTCTATATTTGGCACCTTTCAAATAAATTGGCTCTAGTTCTGCCTGGCTCACTGTAATTAGAAAACACTTTGCAGCCATGATCCAGAAATTTTAGGTGCTGCAAGCTTTTTCTTATATGTGCCAAACTCATCTTCTCCCACAGCGACTCTTGGTTTCACTGTGTTGGAGTCTAAGCTGGAAGTTCTTCTAGGTATTGGAAATGGTTGGTTGGTGGTTGGAAATGCAGTGTGTTTTATCGGCATAGTGCGGTTTCCCTTGGAGGCTGGTGCATGGCCTGTTAGGGTCACGATCAAGGTAACACTTTGCCAAGGTTCATCTTGACCAACCAGCCCCCCCCCTCACACCCACCTCTTATATCAGAGGCTTTCAACCTTTTTGAGTCCATAGCTCCCTTAATCAACTACATTCTTTCTGCGGCACACCTGTGGGGCTTAGGAGCCCAGTTATGTCACCCCTTGCCTGCAGAGCTGGCAGCCCCTCACCCTTTTCAAACACCCTCCCTTGTGGAGTGTTCTCTCAGCCTCCTCTCCTTGGGAGTCCTCCAGGCAGCAGCTGCTGCTGTCCCAGGTCTCTGAGCTGTCCCACCCACCTGCCCCAAAGAGTGGTGTCTCCCAGAGGTTGGGGGGCCCCAGCCAGCTTAGCTTTCTGAGGCCCAGGGCAAGTTTACTCAGCCCCCCCCCCCCTTTGCAGGGCCTGATGTGCTCATGCACACAGAGAGAGAGAGAATCATAGAGCTGGAAGGGACTCTGAGGATCATCCATTCCAACCCCCTGAATGCGGGAACAGAGAGAGATTGCTAGAGTGATCTCATTAACCTAATATTTCTTCCTTTGAAGGAGCCAGATTGCATTCTTCCTTGCTATAGCTTCCCTCAAAGATCATATGCCAAACTATGTGGGAGTACAATTAAATGAGCCGGAGTGGGATGTATTTCACATCTGCTGATTTCATTCCTATGTAGGCATAGAAAATTTCATCATTATGAATGGAGAAATAGGTCTGTTATCACTTGCTTCCATTCTAGAGCAATGAGGCAGTGCCTTTGAGCTTTGTTTCTAGAAGTGTAAAGGCAACATCTTTCTCTATCAGTATTCCCGTATTCGTTGGCTTGGGAATTACAGTGCTTGTCTTTAGCTTGGTTGTTTATTTTAAAGATTCCCTGAAGTTCCTCCATAGTGAGTGTTCAAATACTGAATTGGCATTGTGTTCTTGGGTTGTCTTGCAGCTTATAATAGGATCATATCTACAGCTCCATTTTTATCCCATTGATTTGGGGGAAGAACATATTTTTGTCATCCCCCCTTCTCAGATTGATGGAGTGTTTATGGATTTGTAGGGCAGAAACATAGACTGAGACTATTGGTTATAGGGTTCTTAGAAAATAGGTTTCTGCTCTGGTTGCCACCCTCTAATTAACAAATGCAGTGTGCATTTTGTACGTAGAGAGAATGGTTGCTGGCAAATGGTACAGCTAGATGCCATCTTAATGAATGTATTACTAATGAGCTTTTGTAATATTAGCTCATCAACACCCTCACTATTCCTGTCCAGTTTTGATTATGTGTGGCAATCAAACTTTGAGAAATCATTATATAAGCACTACAAAGGCCGCATCGTTTTTTGGCACAGGGCATTCTGGGATGGTTCTCCCCCCCACACACACTTTTTACATAGCATGCAATCCATGTTTGTGTTACTGCTTAGCAATTCCTGAGCTTGTCTATGTTCTAAAAAGATTTCCACAATCCAAATAATGAACTTTCAGGAGAACACAGAGAAATATAGTAGTGTTTGCACTTTCACGTTTGAGTGCTAGCAAAATGCCAGTAGCTAGTTGAATCATTGTACAACAGCCTGTAGGCAAGAAGTGCTATTTCTCACTGACTATAAAAACATGTATTGAAGTGCATGAGCCATATGTCTGAGTTTAAAAAAAAAGTAATTAAATGTCACATTGAATATATTTGTATGAAAGATTTGAGGATGTCTGAGATACCAGAGAGATGTAAATTGTTTTGGTAATGTATTCATACTTGATAATAGCAGATGAATGTAGAAATAGCCATTTTGAAAAAGGGAGTGCTTATCAGTGTGCTGCTCCACATTAAACAATTGATTATGCTCAGACTAGTGTGCTAAGAATTAAGATTCCTGAGGTTTATAGAAAGATTAAAACAGAAATGGGCATTACTAAAGTTTCTTTTAAAAATAACAAGCTGTCTTTTGCCTGCCTGTATTGTAAGATGTGAGGAGTATATGGCTCACATGTTATATTATTGATGCATTATTTATATTTATAAGCCACGTCCTGGCCCATAGGATTCCAGGGTGTACATAAGAAAATGATTAAAAAAACAATAATTTAAACACTTAAAATCATACTGTGTCAATGAAAACAGTTCACCAACAGCATCAAAAATAGCCAAACTCACTTACAGACATTGTCTAAAATGCCTTTCTGAGCAGATGCATTTTGTGGTCTGAATAACTTCCTTTTTCTTTTAAAAGTTTTGAGGTTGCACAGGTTGTTAGGTGGTCTCCTGTCATGTTTTAACTAGGCCCAGATCTGGTTTAGCTCCACATACAATAATGCGGAACACATTCAAACCATTTCCAGGGTTGGAGGTAAAATAAAGGAAATAAAGATGCATGGCAGAGAGGAACAAAACAAGTCAGTTAATGATGGTGCTTATTAATTGTCCTGCTGTCTTAGCAAGTTTCATCAGATTTGAACAATAGGGAAGACTACTGTCTTGGGGAAACTGCATTCATAGGAGCCATGGCAGCATACTTCTTTCTAAGGGCAGAAAAACACTTCACCAATCTGGTTGCAGAAAGAATATTGGGTATTAAGGAAAACCTCACTGGATGTGCTTCCCTAGCATCCAAAGAGAAGAATGGTGTAGCAAAGTGTGAATCTCCTTGGTATTCATATCCTGGATTTTTCCACTGCCTGTAGCAGAGAAAGTGTGCTTACGTGTAGGCAGGGTGTCTGCCCTGGACTGCACTTTACAAGTGTGCCACCCAAGAAGGGAGAGTAGGAAGGAGGTACAAGTCATGCAGAATCACCACAAGCGCAATATTCAGTGACCTGGTTCCCAGACAGGAGGGATTACAAAGCACCTAAATTACATTGTGCTATAGCACCAGTAGGTGTTTCACAACAAAAGGATTGGCTTGAATCAGAAAGCAGGAATTCGGGATGGGTTGGGAGAGGATGGGAAATGCAGTAAATTTCTTCCTGAAATCATAAAACATGTCTACAGAAAACCAATGCCAAATTGAAGTATTAATAAATTTCTTTTGGTCTCAGTTCTACTAACACATCTTGATCCATTCTGCCCCATTCCAACAGAGAGAGACATTAAAAGAGTTAGAAAACATTGTGACAGGATAGCTTGTTTCTAATTATATGGGTTTTGCTCCACCCTAAGTTACAATTTCAACTAATTTAGGCCTGTGTCAGCCTGCTTGGTTTCTTCCAAACTAAAGTTAGGAATTTGCATGACTTTGCCATGATTTATCGAGATGATTCTGTTTTCTGTGTTAACATAGGTTGTTTTAGCATATAATGTGCATTCAGGTAGATCCAGAATAATAGTAGCCTTGAAGTAAAAGACAAGTAGACAATTTCTGAAGAGACATGGCTCAGATGGATGGCATAGTAGCTCATAGGATCAGGTGTTTTAATGGCATCTCCTTACTAGTGGAGGGGCACAAATACTGCACCCCCAACTCCACTGATGGGAACAGGAGCAGCCTTTGACATGGTCCTTTGTTGATGGTATTAATTTTTATGAAATGGTTTTGTTTTTTTTTAGAAATGGAAAAGATCCCTGCACCGAAAAATATAACTGTGGGGGGAAATGTCATTATGGAACATGTTCCACCCTACATCACTGTTTACCTATCAAAAGCTGGCTTCAGAACACAGCATAGCAATCCAAGGATCATTATAATATTCCTGAAACCTATAAAAGAGGCACAGCTTGCACTTTTTTTTTTGCTTTGGAGAGAGTAGGGAAAGATGAGGAATTTCAATGGAAATTGAAGATGGATGGATTTGCCCTGCTTGCCAGACACTGAAATGGCAATGACAATAGGCCAGAACTAAAAAGTAACAGTATCATTGTAATATATATGTTTGCATTAAGTTCAATAAATCTTGCTGTAACCCTGTGAGAATTTGGCACTGTAGACCCACAATGCAGATGCAGTCCAAAAGCTGAGACAGCTATTTGCCTAAGACCACATACTAAATTCATTGCAGAGATTAGATTTGCACCTGGGATTTCACAGATCCACCAGTTGGCCACTATACTAATATACTATAATATATTAGCTCAAGCATTGTATGTGATATCTGAAAGTATTCTACATGTTGATTATGGTATTGATTGTTTGCTCTCTTTTTCCCCCTCTTTTTTTTTGCAGGAGAAGCTATAGAAGGTCTTAGGGAGAGTGATTACCTTTTGATTCATTCATGCCGACAGTGGACCACAATTACAGCTCACAGTCTGGAGGAGGGACATTACGTCATAGGGCCGAAGATAGAAATCCCTGTGCATTATGCTGGTAAGTGTGGCTTTGGCTCTGAACTGCAAAATAAAGGGTGACTGAGTTGCCCACCAATTACGCCAGCTTTTTGGCTGCTTGGCTAAGGAAAGCAAAATTGACAGCAAAGGTGACTATTACTTTAACAAAATAAGTGCAGAAAAGGAGCTGTATCTCATTCCTACAAGCTGATGATACGCACCAGTATAAACTGCTAAATCGTGATTTTAACTAGGAAAGCTTCATTAGCTGCTGGAGAAAAGTGGTACAAGTCTCATGCAAAACAGTCCTCCAAAGTTGTTTTGAAAAAAGATCAGGTGCCCAACTACATCATGCCTGAAAATGTACTGAGCCACATGATAGCCTACTTATGCCTGTTCCTGGCAGCAGTGCTACGTGCTTCTGAATAAGCATGTGGACTTGGAACGGATGCCAATCAGGATCATTTTTTTAAAAACTTACTTTCTCTTGTAAACAACTATTGTTTAGTCTAACCTATGACATCGCTGCAAGTTCATGCATGCCTTCCCTTTCTGCCGAGTTCTAAGAGTTCCCTGTTGTCTGGAATAAATAGTTGTGGCCAGTCTAATGCTTTTCCTGGGGACTTTTTTCATTTCTCTTTCTCCCTCTGTTCAAGGCTCACCAGGCCCCTTTTTAGTGCGGGTTTTTTTAAAAAAATAAAAAATAAAGTGACAGCTATAATTTGAAATTTCCTTAGCTGCATTTAAGCTTCCTTTCTCTTATATCTTTTTAAAACTGGGTCAAGACTGCAGTTCTAATCAAAACATTGTCCTTTTGCTTCACTGTTCCAAAAGGTCCCTTGGCCTGCAACAATGAGTGTGTTGGGGCAATCATGTCTCTGCTTAAGAAGACAAGATAGGAATGAGCCTCAGAATCGCCTAGGCAGCCCTTTTGATCCTCCCATTGTACAAGCAAGTGAACAGAGCAAGAAGTCTTCCATTAATTATAGTTAACGATAGTTCAGACAAAATGGGAAACTATAATTAATTGAAGAGTTGCATTTAGGGAGGGGCTATAAGGACATTCATAGCACGACTTACCACACTTGAGTTATGATCATATGAGCTCTCCCACTCATTCTTAAATAGTAACCTCCTGTTTTCAGCAATATGTGAAATATATCTTTTTTTCCTCTCCTTACAAAGGAAAAATAATTATAGGGTAGGGGTTGAAGGGACGGGGACCTGGGGTAGCCTTCCCCAACCTATTGTCCTCCAGATGTTGCTGGACTATAACTCCAATCAGTGCCAGCCAACATGGCCAGTAGTCAAGAGTGATGGGAGTTGTAGTCCAACAACATCTGGAAGGCACCATGTTGACCGCCTTTAAATAAAAAGTGGTATTTAGGAACACAAGAAGAAGAAGAAGAAGAAGAGTTTGGATTTGATATCCCGCCTTTCACTCCCCTTCAGGAGTCTCAAAGCGGCTAACATTCTCCTTTCCCTTCCTCCCCCACAACAAACACTCTGTGAGGTGAGTGGGGCTGAGAGACTTCACAGAAGTGTGACTGGCCCAAGGTCACCCAGCAGCTGCATGTGGAGGAGCGGAGACGCGAACCCGGTTACCCAGATTACGTGACTACCGTTCTTAACCACTACACCACAACTGGCAACAATAAATCCTATTAGCATTTTGCAGTACTGAAATTTGCCAGAGTTACTGGTACATCTATTGTGAGGCAATCAGAGGCCAGTTTCCTACTACGTACACTCAGTGGCTCTATGGATCAGTTGGCAGGCTTTTTCTTGAGAGACTATTAGACTTTAACTGCAATTTAAAGAGTACCTCTGAGGGCCTTTATAATTTGATCACTATCTGATAATGTTACTTGTGTTTGTCATAATGTGCTCTCTCTCACCCAAACAACTCATTTATGAATTTAGTGATTCTGCAAGGAAACTAAAAAGCAATACAGAGGTGCAATTCAGATGAGTAGTATAAAAAGCAACTTCATCTTCCACATTAGAGGCACTTTCTCGTCCTATCTTCAGTTTCTGAATCTTAATCCCCTGCATTATATGATACAATTACTACGGGGAACTCATTCAAAGCAGTTACTGGTGTGGTACATTTGTTATGTGGTTTCTGCATACATTCCACTTGTAACATTTCTTTCCTTTTGCTTCCCAAACCACATCTATACCATCAGCAGAAAATAGTTGTAAAACATTGATTGCCATGGCCTTTCCTGAAGTCCCCTGGTTATGATTGCTGTGTGAGTGCTTGTTTTCTTCTGCTACAGTTACCGAGATTCTTTGGAGAAGTTATTAGTCTAAATAGCTTTGCTTTGTGGTGCAGATACAAATCCATGAATAGAATCTAGAAATTGAGGTTATACCCAGTTCAGTTTAGAATGATTAAAAAAAGAAGACCAGCACCTACGTATAATAACTCATATACCCATGTAGAAATAAGATCAAAAATATTGTGCATAACGTGAAGTATATATGGGATATATGCAAAAGAGTAAATATTGCAGAAGTTCAAAGGCAAGAGTTTGCTCTTGTTTGACAGCACACAGTGTCTTTTCCCAGGGTTAGTGATGCCAAGTCTGTCATCATTAAAGAGTAAAATTCTGTGTCAGGGAGTTAACCATGTTACGAAATGATTAAAGGAGCACTTGCTACTCAATATGCTTTCTAAAAGAACTGAACATTGTTTCCTGATCCAGCTCAAGGTTGAAAATGGGGTGGATTGACTTAAGCATTTTCCGGCTTGTGTGTGCCCATGTTAGGGATTTAAGAGTGTGGTTGACCTCTTGAAAGAGCAGTCATGCATTTTTTCTGCTTGCCTCAGAAAAGCAGAAATTATACCCATGTAGAGCTTCAACAGGGACACGGGTGGTGCTGTGGGTTAAGCCACAGAGCCTAGGACTTGCCGATCAGAAGGTTGGCGGTTCGAATCTCCATGACGGGGTGAGCTCCCGTTGCTCGGTCCCTGCTCCTGCCAACCTAGCAGTTCAAAAGCATGTCAAAGTGCAAGTAGATAAATAGGTACCGCTCTGGTGGGAAGGTAAATGGTGTTTCCATGCGCTGCTCTGGTTCTCCAGAAGCGGCTTAGTCATGCTGGCCACATGACCCGGAAAGTGTACGCTGGCTCCCTCGGCCAATAAAGCGCCGCAACTCCAGAGTCGGCCACGACTGGACCTAATGGTCAGGGGTTCCTTTACCTTTACCTTAGAGCTTCAACATGGATCTATGCAGTGCCTGTGGTTGATGGATGCTGCTCTAGGAAGAGGAGAGAGAATATGTGTCTTGCATGCAGGCGTCTTGTGACAAACTTTAAAGGGATACAAGTTCTAAATCCAGAAGAGGGAACAAGGAGTTGATAATATTGTTGCCCAGTTTGTTTGTTTTTATTAAAGTAATGTATACACAGACCACTTCCTGTGTAAAGATCTTGAAGTATAAAATTCCAGTGAAGATAAAATGTTAACATATAAAACCAAATTTATTAAAATATACATAAAATCCAAATGAAATGGATGAGTCAACTAGTTGGGATAAGCCTGAGCAAACTTACTTTAACTGTCTTTGGTATTTTATTTAATTTATTTTGTACAGTTTATATACTGCTTGACTGTAAAACAACAACCCTCAAAGTGGGTTATTGCTGCATTATTCAAAGTGAGTGCAAAGTCCAGTATGAAGTCCAGGTTCTTCCATTGTGGCATTCAAGTGCCTTGAAATCTGACTGCCGTGGTGGTGGGGACTACAGCAAGCTCCAGGTGATCTGCTTCTTTATCTTAAGAGCTGCTAGAGGGGAAGAGAAGGAAGTTCTTCCCCAGAACCATCTCCTAGATCTCTCTGTATGTTGGGTCTTAGAATGCATACGCTAAAAAAAACCAGCCCTTAAATCTTTTTAAACCCTTAATGTTCAGACCTTACTATAACCCTCAAACATAATTTGAGAACAAGCTTGAAGCCATCCCATGGTATCTGGGCTTTCTGCCAGATGGGGGCATGCTCTGTCACAAGGCATCTAGCTCTCTTCCTACTTCTTTGCAATGAAGAGTGCCACCACGGCATCACACTTCAGTGAGATCATTTCTTTAAAGTATTGGTTTTAGGTGAGGGGAACTGTTCTGCCTTATTTACAAAGAAACACACTACGGTGTGTTGCAATTCCTTGTTTACAAAGAAACACACTACGGTGTGTTGCAATTCCTTTAGACTTTAGACTACAGAGTAGCTGGAACTACTGTTAGGGCATTAACCTTGCCTACAGCTCTTCTTGAAACTCTTTAGTTTTTTTCAAATTGGTGGGGGAAACCTAGCTATTCTTTAATTAATAAAAACAACAACCCTAAAGAATAAAGCTTACTTCTTTGTGTTGTATGGAGAGTGATAGAGGCACAGTGCCTCTGAGTGCAATGGAAATAACATGATCAGCACATGTCCTAACATGTTGCTTTTCTGAATATTTTCAAAGTTTCCCCCTGTGCAGCTATACTTGGCTAAACTTGAATGCTACTTTGTACACAGATTTGATGAGTGAAGCAGTTGAGCTGCAATGAATCATTGTCGGCTGAGCTAGTTTCTAAAAGGATTGGACTACTACTTTGGGCACACTGTGCTATGGTGTCTAGATCAAGGGAAGTAATAGTACCACTCTATTCTGCCTTGGTCAGACCATACCTGGAATACTCTCTAGTTCTAGGCACCACAATTTAAGGAGGATATTGAGAAGCTGGAACATGTGCAGAAGAAGGCAACCAAGATGATCAAGGGTCTGGAAACCAAGCCTTAGAGGAACTTTGGAGGGAGTTGGGTATGTTTAGCATGTTTAGAGACAGAGATGAGATATGATAGCCATCTTTCTATTTATCTGTACACCGGTAATCATATCATTCATTCTGATTATTCGTATTTGCCCATGCAACGGAAGCCTGTTACACCAAAATGCAAGCAAGTTAATAAGCTGCCTTGAGTGCCCTGTGGGATGACTGTTGCTGAGAGGGGGGTGGGGGGTGGAGTACAACCCTGCTGATTCTCTTGGAT